TGTGTGTGGTGTGTGTGTGGTGTGTGTGTGTGGTGTGTGTATGTGTGTGGTGTGTGTGTGGTGTGTGTATGTGTATGTGTGTGGTATGTGGTGTATGTGCGTGGTATGTGTGGTGTGTGTCTAGTGTGTGGTGTGTACGTGTGGTGTGTGTGGTGTGTATGTGTGTGGTGTGTGTATGTGTGTGGTGTGTGTGTGGTGTGTGTATGTGTGTGGTGTGCGTGTGGTGTATGTGGTGTATGTGTGTTGTGTGTGTGTGTTTTGAATGGTGTGATAGTATCTGCCCAGAGGTCAGGACCTCTGCAGGATTCCTGCATTCTGGTTGGAGGCATTCCCTGTAGAACTCAGAAGGAGGAGCCTCTGATTCCAGGCCCCACAGGCAAGGCCAGACCTCTCTCCCCACAGCTGATTCAGTGAGAGGTAAGTAACCACTTACCAGTTTTCAACTGATTAGTAAAACTATTTGAGCTGGAACTTCTGAGGAGGAAAACCGAAGCCCCTAGGCCATGCAGAAAGAAACCGCAGGGAAAAGCAGTTTCAGTGGTAAAAATGTGGAGCTTGGATTGGGAGGACCTCAGGCCCCATCAGAGTCCCACGTCTCCACTGAGCTGAAACTGGCAACAAATGACTGACCCTCACTGAAGGTCCATTTTCTCTGTGTAAAATGGGAAATAAATAATTTGCTGGGTCTATGAGGGGAATCAATGAGATGAGGACATTGCAATTCAGGTGCTTTAGGGGTGTGCAATATTCTTATTATTAAGGAAGTGCTCTGGAGTTATTAAAACTGGCTTTTTTTTTTTTTTGGGGGACAGAGTTTTGCTCTTGTTGCCCAGGCTGGAGTGCGATGGCGCTATCTCAGCTGCACACTCCGCCTCCTGGGTTCAAACGATTCTCCTGCCTCAGCCTCCCGAGTCACTGGGATTACAGGCGCCATCACACCCAGCTAATTTTTGTTATTTTTAGTAGAAACAGAGTTTCGCCATGTTGGCCAGGCTGGTCTCGAACTCCTGACCTCAGATGATCCACCTGCCTGGGCCTCCCAAAGTGCTGGGATTACAGGTGTGAGTCACTGTGTCTGGCCCAAACTGGCCACTTTAGTAATAAAACTGCCTTGGGTCTGAAATGTGACAGATTTTATCGGTATCACAGAAGGGGAAACTTCTACACTGAGCTTGAGATGTGCTGGATTGTCCCCACCGTCCTTGGCAGATCTTAAAGCTCTGTGACTGCTCTTTTGTGCTAGAGAGCCATTTGTGAAGTATTCAGAAATTCAGCAGGCTGACTGACATCCTGTTAGCAGCTTGAAATTTGGTTCTAGTGAGAAATCAGCAAACTCTACAAATCCGAGCTTTGTATTTATCTTTCCTGGAGAGTTTGTTAAACATTTTACAGCACACGACTGGGCATTTGTCGGTATCTATCATGATAGACATTTAAGAACAGATCCCTGAAATTGGACTGACCTCAATTCAAATCCCAGTGTAACTGATGTTCAGTTTTCTATTTTGAAAAATACAAGAATTTTTTTTTCTACCTCTTAGGGTTACTAGGAGGATTAAATGAGATAAAACGGGGAAAAGACAGCACAGCACCAGACGATAGATAGTTCTTATTATTTCCCATTATCTCTAGCGTTTAAGATTGAAGACATACCTATTTTTCCCTTGACATTACAAGGGTCCTGTAATTTCAGCAACATATTGAATGCTTTTGCCTCCCAACCTTTCTTGGCAAATTAGTGCCTAATGACACCTGAAGTATCCTGGCCTTTGAATAAAGGGCCAGGTAATGACCCTAGAGGTGGGTGGGGCGCTGCCCTGTGCTAGTCCAGTGCTGGCCAGTAGAGGGCACCCCAGACACACACCACCACCTTACCCCATCCCTCCCCCATGCTCTCATCCCCGTGCCCAGGGTGAAGGGACAGGAAAGGTCCTCTGCTATCTGCAGGGACCTTGAAGTCTGAGGTCCGTGCATGGAGACAATGGCGTGGATCATCCACTACTTGTATCTGCCCAAAACTTAGCGTGTTGTGCTGTGCTCTGTGCAGAACACAGCCTTAATCTTCTGAATCCCCCGCAATATCACACTCAGTCGGTATTAGTGGAAGGGATGAAGGAACAAAGCAGAATCTGGCTGAGAAGAGGGCTAGAACCAAGATAATAGTGATAATAATGAATTCTGTTTTATTGGAAGGCCTAGTCTCTTACTGCAACATGGAACTATTTTTTGCATATGCATAAGAAAAGAGATGAAGTGAGTACCAGTCAACAGTATCAATCTTTGTTTCACACAATGGGGGTTTAAAGAGTCCTGAGTGCTGGGCTTTGTAGGGGGAGCCAGGAAGACTCACCCTAGGTTTTCGGCTACAGGAAGAGGCTTCTTGTCCTTTAGGCCAGTGGTTCTCAAAGGGAGAGGAGAAGAGGATTCCCCCACCCCTCTCCCAGGGGAAAAATGGAAACATTTTTGGTTACCGCAACTGAGGGGAGGATGTTAGTGGGTGGAGCCCACAACAAAGAATTATTCGCCCAGAATGGCAGCAGGGTCACGGGTGAGAAACCCCGCTGTAGTCTAATGATTCTGTAGCAGAATTCACAAGTGGCAGCCACAATGGTGTGGGTTTATTCAGCAGAACCTTTACTTGCAGGGTTGCTCTGCCCAGTGAGCTCCCTGAGCGTCACGCTTGAGTGAGGGAAGCTGCTTTTCCCTGCCAGAGCCCACACAGCGAAGGGGGAGGAGTTGTGCCAGCCCATGAAGCGGGGTCTAGCGTGGTTTTGCCAGCAGCCCCAGCCAATCCCAGGGTTCAGGTCTGAGGGAAGCCTCCAGCTCATTGGCACCTGGAAGATGAGGGTGCCAGGACATGTATGCGCCAGAGTTCAGACTGAAGCGAGGTGCATGGCTTTGTTCAGAAAAGCTGCAGGCAGCTTCTGGATAGTAACAGCAAGTGCAGGATTGTGCCGACTCAGGGACAATCACTCCTGAGGCAGTGCCATCCTTCGCTGGACAGCTGCCTAGCACAGGAGTTCTTTTTCTCCTGTCCCCCACACTCCTTGGTCCCCTCCCATCCTCAGAGCTGCTATTCCCAGCTTCCATGGCTGGTCAAAGCTTGGGGCTTGAGTCTTTTGGAATTATCTTATTCACTCTGTTCTTCCTTTCATGGACTTTAGGATGACCACAAACTCAGCAATAGGGAATTGGAAAAGAAATATGGCACAGACATCATTACGGTGAGTCGTGGGAACCAGGGATTCAGAATAGAAGCCTCCCGACTCTACAGAGGGAAGGCTGTGTGTGGTGGGGGGTGTGTGGAAGAGTAGCGGCAACTTTAGGAGGAGGCGCCCCTGCAGCACCTTTGAGACTGCAGTTATTTGCATCTGGACACTGTTGAAGTCAACAGAAATACCTACTGTGGGGCTCACACTGGCCTGGCAGTGAGAGGGACCAAGAGGGACAGATGACTCCTGGCCTCAAGGAGAAAGTGGCCAGGTGGGGGAGGCAAATATGTACAGAAGTGTCCTGAGATTCACTCTGTCCCGCTGGGATGGCCACAAGAAGTAGAAATGCTATGCTGGGAGAAAGGTGGATTCTGACTGAAGGGGCCAGAGCTGGCTCTTGGGCTGCTGCTGTGTTTGCGCTGGAACTCAAGACGATTTGGATTTAAGCTGGTGGAGGACCCCAGGGCCAGTAAGCACAGAGCCGGATTGGAGACAGTCTGGGCTTGCTGGAAGCTAGTATGTGTGGAGAGGGGACAGGTGCAGCAGGAATGAAGCCAGGAAGGTCATCTGGGTGAAGCTGTCAAAGTATTCACATTAAACTAACAAGCAGGGGCTGTCGTAGAGGCAGAAGGGACATGGTTTCTACACAAGGAGGTGATTTCATTGGTTTTCAAAAGGCAGCTCTCGTAGAAGATCATTTTTTTAAAGTGAGAAATGGAAAGGTCTAGAAGAATGGAACAACAGCCCAGGACTGT